AGATGTGTATAAGAGAATATATATATAGAGAGAGGGGGAAGTTGAATCAATCAATGGATCGATCGATCAACCAACCAACCATTGTTAACCAACAAGTCAATCAATCAGTATAATAATATATTGATAACAAATCATGACAACGGTTTTTTTGGTGTTCTTTTTTTAGATTCAGTTTTGCTTTTAAAAAAAACTAGTTTACTGTACTGATAATTCAACTTGGAGGGTCGTTATTCACTAACTACGGACAATTATAATACTCACAAAGAATGGATTTTCCGAAGTTTATAAATACTGTATAGACATATATAGCAGACGTCATCTGAAAACGCCACACAAATATTAGACAACAACAGTCATCGTTTATTGTCTGGAGAAACTAACTACATGAAGCTAATATATAGGCCTATATTGTTTAATATATAGGCCTATATTGTTTCTAATCATACTTGCATGAAATTCTCACTTTTCAACCCTCACTCACTCACCACTGACGAAGGACTAGTGTTGTCTGAAAGCTCTGGTTCTATTTCTGGCTGTTTACTTACGTCTACTTTTTAGCTGCTGCTTACTTTTGTATCTCTACCGAGATCCAGCCATTGTTTCCCACAGCATTGTTGTTTTTCAGTATTTTGCCTATATATATATATATATATATATATAAGCAACAGCTAAAAAGTAAACGTAAGTATAAATTTGATGCTTGACCACTATCACGAATAATTTACCAGAATGTCGATCATACATTCAACTTGTGTAAACTTCACCAAGTAAATGCTTATTTTTAACCCCTTACAATGGACTTTCGTCGATACGATATTTCGCCGACACATGTTTTGCCGACAGGTCGACATAATTCGCCGACAGTCAATTCGTCTGTATCAAATTCGCCATAAATCGTAACCGTACGGGATGTTTCGACAAATGCCTATTCACACGTTAATTTGCCGACAGTGTTTTTGCCTCCAACAGCAATTCGACGACAGCCATTTCTCCGGCATCCAACTTTCCGAAGCCATTCGCCGACAATGCACCTGTATATTTAATTCATTTAAATCAAATTTAGATCAAACTTAATAATGTGATTTTAAATAGCGGATTTAGGGGGGTAAAAAAAAGAAAGAAAATTGATTGCCCAAACGCATCAGGTTATATTCGGGCGATAAGAAAACAAAAATGTCCTCTAAGATGGTGTTATCTTCGGCCTTTCGGTCCCGGCCCCTCCCCCCTTCGGACATCTGTGGATTCGCCCCTGAATTGGCCTACATGCCAGCAACTAAAGAACATAGGCTATTTAATATTATGATTGGGCTGGGCATTTTATGGTGATAGATTAATTAAATGAAAAACAGTGAAAGTTTAACATTGTTCTGTGTATATAATTTGAATTCCTTCAATTTTAAACGAATGACCGCTGATTTTCTTATAATTTTTGTAGTATTTCAAATGAATATGTACCCGCTGTTGATTAAAATCTGGCCGATGTCGAAAAAAAGTTTGGCCGTGAGATGGCGTGTGTTTGGCCGTGAAGCCTGTCGACTATCTGGCAACCCTGACAAACAACATCAAAGAGTACATCAGTAACTTGGTAACATTTAATGTGCTGTATTAAAGTTTCCCGTGGAGGGTTGATGACAAAAGAAGGAGGTTTAGCAGAGCACAATTCTGTACTGAAGTAGGCCTATATTAACATTGGGAGAAGGTAGGTAAAAGAAACAACAATGTTTTGAGCAGGGACACCGGCTAGGCCTATACCACTATGCCCACTTGATCCGGCCTGCATAGGCCTACAACCTCACATGCTCTCTCTAGGCCTAGCAGCACTGTAGGTAGGCGACAGGCCTAGCCTAGCAAGTAGGCGAAGTGCCTTTCAATACTCTATCTGTTGTCTTGCGGAAGTTGCTGTGAAAACTCTCTTGACCTTATCTTGACTCTTATATAGAGTAGGATAATAGGCCTTTTTCACGAATTGGTAGACATATTGAAGTGATGACAAACATTGCGAATCAGCGGTGCGTAACCAACAGAAATAATTAAGATAAGCTTTTGGGCTGATTTTCTGACATCATGTTATTTTAAAAAATCATAACTCCATAACGGGGCGTCGTACCCAAAAATTGTTTCCAGCAAAATGTTCTTAAAAGACTATTCTATACCACTACATGATTGAAAAAAAATTAAAAAATGTTTTTGAAATCAAGATGGAAAAAGAAAAGCCTATCTAAGTAGTATATTTTCGGAGGTCATGTTACTCAAAAAATCATACAGTATATCCTTATTTATTCTATTGGTTACGCTTCGCTGCTCAGCACTGTTTGTCATCGATCGAAGATGTCTGACACAGCGTAAAAAACGGCGTATTACTGTCTTTAAAAAATAGTTTTGAATATTTTATGTTTTGTTTTAAGATGGCAGACTTAAACTGCCTAAATGTACCTAAGGTACAGCAATTTCCTGCTCTGAACTCTCCACAAAGGCTGGGAGGCAAGGTGGCAGAACCAGGGCGTGCCAAGGTACCACTGAAGCCAGGCCGATCCCTCATGGACTGGGTTCGGCTTGGCCAAAAATCAGGGAATGCTCTAAATGGACTGAAAGGACAACAAATGCGCGAAGTAACAGCAGAAGAGCTGGCCAAACATAATAAACATACAGATGCCTGGACTGCACTTAGAGGTAAAATTTGAATATCTATTCTATTGTACTCACAATATAAGGGTAGTTACACCCCTTATCCTCCCCAGTTTTTAAATATTCAAAAATATACATCTCAATAACCGTTCCCAAGTTTTCCATCAAATATGCTTTTTGTGTCTTAGAAAAATCAGCATATCAAAAATTATTTTCCTCCGGCTTCACTTTAAGCATTAGCTATTTACCAGAACACAAGGACCAGTGATAAGGGTTTTTTGGGTGTTTTTAAACCATCCATATCAATTGCTTCTTATCTTTATAATTTAGTGTATCTGTATCGCATGTCCATTATATGTTGTATGTTATAAGTATAGGTGGCGCTGCACTGTTGCTGCTTGGCGTTCCCAGGGCCCAGCCCATATTTCCGATTTCCAATTAGAAAAAAGTATCATAAATAAAAGTTGACACAAAATAAAGTACACTAATAATAATAATTCTTTATTTGTCCTAATTCTAATTGTTTTCAGGACGTGTCTACAATATTACACCGTATATGGAATACCACCCTGGAGGGGCGGATGAACTAATAAAGGGTGCGGGGATTGATGGAACAGCTCTGTTTAATGATGTATGTAATTTTTTTGCCTTGGAGCTTATTATTTTTATTGGGATGATTAAATTCATTTTGTTAACAATACTTTATATAACAGAATTTTTACTTTGATGGTATCTTATCCATCCCACTATTACAATATAAACAATACATAATATGTACATTAAAGAATAAACTTATTATTAACTGGTACTGCTATGGGCATTTATAATGCCTCGTCCTTGCTGTTATAGTTCTTTTCCCTGGTCATTGGATCCAATCAGCACTGGAGCAGGCAACCCCACCAGGTACCCATTTATACTTCTGGGTGGAGAGGAGCAATGCAGATAAAGTGTCCTGCTCAAGGATGCAAGCGAAATGCACAGTGAGGGATTTGAAACCCCCGACCTTGAGGTTAGGAAACAAACTGCTTCTTACTGAAACTGAAGTCGGGTGTTCCACAAATTCAGAATATTTCTTTCAACTTGGAATACCCGACTTCAGATGGGTAATTTCCCGGGAGATTTTTGCTTGAGTGCGGGAGGCTGTCCTGAACTCCAGGAGATTCCCGCAACCTCCAGTAGAAACTTATGACCACTGTGCAATACCATTGGATTTCTGAAATTATCATCAGCTAGCCGACCTATGACTTCAGCTTTGGAGCTCATTTGTGGGCTCAAAAGCAACTCGAGTGTCTGTCCTCTATTTTTTTCAGATACACCAGTGGGTTAACTTTGAGTCTATGTTAGCGAAATGTTATATAGGCAGACTCAAGACCACATTCAGTGTCCCAACAAAAGGTATAGTACACCTTCATTTTTAAGCTTGACAAAGATAGGCATGGAGATACAATACCGATCATAAGCAGTGTACTTCAAGCTTGACTTCAAGGAAAGATTTGCCCGCAGGCAAACTTCAGGCTGTGGATGCCAGCAACTTCAATGAACAAATTTTTCTTGTATTTTATTGATAATAGCATGTTAACCTGCAAATTTGCATACAAATCATCTTAGCTTTGTTTTTTTCGTAGTCCCTCCCAAGTCTAAATCGAAGGTTTCAGTAGCAACAGAAAAAAGTAGTAAACTAACACCACCAAATACAGGTAAATTGGTATTTCTTTTATATAACTCATAGAGAGTACTAATACAGATGCATGTATACTTGTCAAATCAATTACAGTAAATGTGTTTTTTCTTAATTTCTCATAATAAATGTATATATGGGCAAGTCTAGTGGCCGAGCGGTAAGGCAGGGCCGCCGCTAGCTACAGCCTTAACATCAGCGCTGGTTCCAGCTGCTCCTCGCCCATGGTTCGGTTGGTAGAACCAAGTCTTCTCGGATAAGGACTTAAAATGGAGGTCCTGTGTGCTTGTGCACACTTTAAAGAACCCATTGCATCTTTTGAAAGAGTAATGGGTTACCCCGATGTTATGGTTCATTTCAGCCCCTGTCGTGGAATGAAGTGAACATGTAGCTACCGTGAAGCGCCTCTTTATGGCTGCTAGGTAGTCATGGACCACGCCCACGCAATTCAGCACAATGTAGCTGCAAGTTATCGGTTATTCTACCTTTACCTATATTTTTTTTTCAATTCTTTTGAAGGTGTAAATCTAAAAAATATAGAGAAATATGAAGGAAAACCAAGAGCACGGTAAATCTACCTTTAAATATGATTACCATCAACATCTTCATCTTTATCATTAGTATCATTGTTATTATTGCTTATCGTTGTCAATATTATCTTTATTGTGCTGTTCCTAATACTGTCTCATTTATTATCTCTGTTCCATTAAAAAGTGTGCCGCTGATGAAAGAGTGTAGTTCTTGATAAATTATAGTTATATATCATTATATATTTCGATTTTCGTTACATGCCCCGTACGTAGCGGGGTGCGACAGGCCATTGTCAGGGGGTTCCCAAGAAGCCCAGTTGTCCTGTCTCCTCTCAGTTTAAAAAAAAAATTAAAACAACATTTGGGAAAAAAGAAAATGATATTCAAATTGTAAGAGAGTGCAAATTCCGGCCATTTGAAGGTGCCATAATCATAAATTTTCTTCCCTCAGTCTCAACAATTGTGGGGCTTATGTAGTATTTCCTCCATCTGTGAAAGCCCCTCCCTGGCCCCTCTTCCAATTCCTAGATCCACCATTGAAAACCGTATATGCATGTTCTGAAATCAATTAATTAAGACCTAAAATTATCAAAAATTCAACAGTTTTTCCCTCCTAGGCGCCCCCCAGCCTCCCTCCGGGTTATTTTGGTACACTCTCTACAAATTCGCACACAACCAATAAAAATCATGCATACGGGCATGCTTTTATTAATTATGTTCTTACTCATCCAAAAGGTATGATTGGTACCAAAATTCCAGCAGTGTAATAATCACAGTGTACGCCAAGTGTCAGGTGAGAATACAATTTTACCAAATCTCCAAAGATTTCTATTTACAGTAGAACCCCTTTTAAGTGTCCCTAGAATAGAAGTGTCCCTTGATTAGAGGTGTCCCTTGAATAGAGGTGTCCCGAAGGAGGGCTCTACTGTATTTTTTCTTTAGTATTTGATCCAGTGACAAGGCAGGTATTGTAACCATTGATTTCAAAATTATCTAATAACAAATAAGAGCATGCTTAAAATCAGTCATTAATTGAAAAATGCTTTAAAAGAATGACATTTTGACTCCATCTTGAAGTCTAATAACTGGTAAGATTTGTTATGATGATATATATAT